TCAAGACCAGTCCGGGCAACCTGGCGAGACTCCGTCTCTACAATAAATAAAAAATTAGCTGGGCATGGTAATGTGTGCCTATAGTTCCCACTACTTGGAAAACTGAGGCAGAAGGATCGCCAGAGCCTAGCAGGTCAACGCTGGAGTGGCCGGAGAGAGATGCCAACTAAAAAAAAAAAAAGCCATTAACAACTACTATAGGAAGGGCAAGGAGATAACAAAAGAAATCCTGGTTTCCAGGTAAGAGAATATTAATTTCAAAGGTTTGGTAGATGGATGATTCAAGAACACATGCAAATGATCTCACAGATGGTGATGCCTAACCAGACAGTAATTTGGAAGAGGTAGACCTTAAATATGCATATTCGTCTCTTCATTTAAACATACTTCTATACAGAAGCTAGGAATGGTAAAAGAGAGTAACCAGAATGTTGAGAGACTCAACTGTACAGTATATGAAATAAAGGAATTACATCCTGCAGAATAAGTAAGACTCATAATTCCTGGAAGCAAAAGTAGGACTATCAATTATAATAGAGAAAGCTACAGAGATTTTTTTCTTATACTGGATCACGAATCTCCAGTAGCCAAAAAACACAAAAGAACCACCTTTGGAAGTAATGGGTCAGCATTATGAGAGATGCCCTGATAGGACCCTAAAAACAAGCTGGCCATGATTGCTGCAGTCTTACTGGGACTGTACTGCCAGGTGATGACCAAGAACTTGGGAATGCCAACAGCCTCGGAGCCCCAAGGAGTGTTACAACTCTCAGCTCCTCTAGTAACAGATTTCTCAGGGAAGTTCACAGCTCTCTTGACTCATGCAAGTCCCAGGTTCTTGCCTCATGCAAGTCTCAGGTTCTTATCTCACGACTGAGAGGATTAAGAATGGTGAATACCAGCAGGCAAGCAAGTCAGGAAAGCAAATGTTGCAGCTCTCACTGCAAGAGGGGATTCAAGTGGGTTGCCAAGAAAAGGCTGGAGCATACTGATTGGTCAGCAGTAGGAACTGAAAATATACTAACCTAAGTGGTCAGTAGTAAGGTTGACAGTAAGGATTGAAAATACACTAACCTGGGCTGGGCACGATGGCTCATGCCTGTAATCCCAGCACTTTGGGAGCCGCGGTGAGAGGACTGCCTGAGCCCATGGGTTCAAGACCAGCCTGGCAAGACCTCATCTCTACAATAAATCAAAAAATTAGGCAGGCATGATAGCGCACACCTGTAGTTCCAGCTACTTGAGAGTCTGAGGCAGAAGGATCACCTGAGCCCAGCAGGTCGAGGTTGCAGTGGCCATGAGCATGCCACTGCACTCCAGCCAGGATGACAAAGTGAGACTTCAACTCAAAAAGAAAGAAAGAAAGAAAGAAAGAAAATACGCTGACCTAATTGGTTAGCAGTAAGGACTAAAAAGTTCTTTACACAATAGTGTAATGGGTCAATGGGATGAGGATTGAAAAAAGAGTTGATTAGGAAAAGGTACACGAAAAAGGAGAAAGGGAGCAGAAAGGGAATGGGTGTGTCTTTTTTCTGGAGCTTGCAGCTTACAGCTCTGTTTCTTCAAATAAAATGGAATCTTATTAGAGACCCATCTGGTCCGCAGTCTGGGAGTTGGGGAGCCCTGCTATAGAAAGAATCACACACTTGACAAGCACAGGTGAAACTGTGACAAGTTAACAGATTATTTTATTCTTGGTAAAATGCAAGGGGCCCGTCTTCTCACAGAATTCAGAAAAAATAAAATTGCTATTAACATAAAAAACTGTCTCATGTTATCCCAAAGATTGTGGGATAAATTCTACCTCGGCAGTTTTGAGAACAGAGGATGATGGGATGGAAGGGAGGGGTGTCTCTCCATAGCTTCTTTCTCTCCTCTCTTCTCCCAAGCACAGGAGGATCAAAAATCATATCAAAAGATTTTGGGTTGAATCTGTGTCAGGGAAACTGGATAAAGAAAAATGGACTCCAATGGACAAAAATATACCTTTCAAACCAATCCTGATGCCATATGTCAGGCCCTAGAAACTCATAACCGCCATTTTTGGCACTGTGCCACCTGCCACAAAACTTTCATGGGGACCTACAAGCTCCTGTCTCAGCTGCTCTTCTGCTACCACCACCTCACCTTGATGCCAAGATGTCCTAAAATATCAGGCTGCAACCAGATGTTAAAATTATCCCTACACCAAGATGAGACAGAATAGTTTCTCTTCCTTCCCAATATCAATCAAAATCCCAATTCTACAAATACAATTGGTTAATGCTATTTATTTAAACCTTACAAATCTCATCAAATAGATCAATAGTTATTGAATTCAATAAATATTTATCGAATATCCACCTGCAATGAACCTGCAGTGGGTGTATATAAAAAAAAAAAATCTCCCTTCCTAGCCTAAAATGCTGGACATCTTTCTTGATTCCAAACAAGTTTGTATAGCTTCCTCATATACACATTGCTATGAATTGAATGTTGATGTACCCTCAAAAATTTATATGTTGGAACTCTCATTCCAAATGTGATGGTATTTGGAGATGAGGCCTTTGGGAGACAACTAGTTCCTGGGAGTGGAGCCCTAATGATAGGATGAGTACTCCTATATGAAGAATCACAAGACAGCTTGCTTCCTCTCTCTCCTCTCACCATGTGAGGATACAGCAAGAAGGCAGCTATTTAGTAGTCAGGAGTTGGCCCCTTACCAGAATCCAACCAAGCTGGCACCCTGATCTCAGTATTCCGGCTTCCAGAACTGTGAGAAATAAATGTTTATTGTTTAAGCCACCCAGTCTATAATATTGTGTTACAGATGGTGGAGTAGGCTAAGATACATTGAAGAAACCATCCAGTACCCAAATTCCAGAATTTGAATGAGGAACTAGCAGCCTCAACTTGATACAGGCAAGCTCCTTAGACTAAGGTTCTATTTAGTTAAATTTAAAAATCCATTTGGGCTAAGGGTTACGAGAAAAGATTATTAACTTAATTAAGTAATTCATTTACAGAAAGAGTGTGGGAAAGATATTCTGAAATATTCTCCTATCCCCAGCAAGTTGAGAAAAAACCAAAATACTGAAAATAATACTTCATCCACAAATCATTGACCCCACCATTAAATCCAACTGACATTTCAACCAATTCTGGCCACACTTCTCCAAAAGCTCATCAAAACATAAAGGGTGTAGGCTGACAATACAAATAACTTTAAAAGAAGAAACCATAAACTAAGAATATGGAGACCTCTTAATTTTTAAAGAACTTTTCATTTTCTGTAGTTCATGTACTTTAAGGCTACAATGTAATAGATTTTTTTAAAAATGTCTTTATGGAATAATGTGAAAAATGGTGTACCATCAACTACAATAATTCAAAACCAAAGAAGATATTAATTATTGATACAGTTCTTTAGAGTCTTGGGCAAAAATTAAATTTAACTATAAAACAGGAATGCCCCCAGAACTAATGAGCAAATGTTTGTAAAGCACATTATAAAGGCAAGGAAGAAAGCAGGCAGTCATTCCTGATTCTTCCCTGTCTCTCCCCACATGCAACCATCAAGGCCAATGGGATAATAAATATCTCTCTATCCATATTATCCCTATCCTAGATGAAGTCACCATCACTTTTTCCATCCTTTTTCCATAGGCCAAAGGTCTGTAGAGACTGACAGGTCTGTAGGCCAAATCTGGTCTGCCACCTGTTATTGTAAACAAAATTTTACTGAACACAGTAATGCTCATTTATATACTGTCTTTGGGTATTTTCACTTTACAGCAGCAGAGTTGAGTAGCTGTGACAGTCTGGCCTGCAAAGTCTAAATATTTATTATCTGGCCCTTAACAGAAAATGTTTGCCAAATCCAGACTAAGGAAGTTATTAAATGATGCTCTATCTAGCTTCCCTACCAGTCATTCAATTCACTCTCAACAGACAGCCTGAGTGAAAGTTTTAAGAGCAAAAATCTGGTCATTCATTCTTATGCAAAGATAAATCCAAACTCCTTACAGTAGTTTCCTGATAACTTTCCCAAACTCCTATATTGCCATTACTCCATCCGACCTTTATAATTTGAATTATTCTATTTTATTCTCTTCAAACTAACCTTGCTCTAACTTTCGCGCCTTCAGCATGCAGTATTTCCCCTACTTGGGATGCTCTACCTTCTGCCTTTCTTCTAACTCTAGGCCACCAATCCAGTTCCCCATGTAAATATCATTTTCTCCAAGAAGCCTTTCCTAACCCTCTGAGCTAAAATTAGATGGTCTTAAACTTCCTCCATCCCTGAGCTTATTAGACTCTAATACATATTTAACTGTCAAGCCAGATCACAAGTCATACACGGGCTGAGATAGGCTCTGTGGTGTTAATTATGATACCCCTTGCACCAGCACAACAGCCGTATATTTTTTATTAAATAAATTTATCCTTTGCATCATGTTCTGAGATTCTAAGGAACTTTTCTTTCAGTGACTTACCAGAAATAATCTGACAGACAACCAGTGAAGACAAGTCATTTACAACCATTTATAAGCAAAGCAGTTTACACTAAAATCTAAAAACCTAGAAATCTACCAAAAGACAGTTTGTTCTGAGCACAACTGTTTGTGTGCTTATTAGTATATTATCAGAGAAAACCCTGTACTTTAGAGCTTAAGCACTGTTCTAGATCATATTTAATAAAAACTTAATTAAAAATTGAAACTTCGAAGTGAGTGGATTGCCTGAGCCCGTGGGTTCGAGACCAGCCCAGGGAACTTGGCGAGACTTCGCCTCTACAATAAATCAAAAATTAGCTGGGTGCGGTAGCGTGTGCCTGTAGTTCCAGCTACTTGGAAGGCTGAGGTGGAAGGATCGCCAAAGCCTAGCAGGTCGATGCTGTGGTGGCCGTGAGTGTGCCACTGCACTCCAGCCTGGGTGACAGAGTGAGACTCCAACTCCAAAAAAATAAAATAAAAATAATAAAATAGACGTTGAAACTAAAAAAGGTATTCTCCTATTACCTGCTCTTCCCTCTCCTTTTCTTTGGTTTTACTTCTGTAGATTCTAGCAGAGGTGGCATCCTGGGATGGAATGGCAGAGATCTGATGCAGTGGCATGCTCATTCCAGCCTCCTATCTTTTCTTCTTCACAGAAGAGAGTCTTCACTGGTAGAGTCATTTTGGGCCATGGACTTCAAGCTGAGAGAAAGTCAAGAGAGAAAAGACATAACTGAGCTAAAATACTTTTTAAATTTCTAAGAGTGAGATTCACATTTTATATTTCTATTCCTATTTATATTTAAATAAGTTACAATGGAAGACATGCATGGTCTTCAAAAATAATTAAAATAATAGAAGATTGATGTGTAAGGGAAAATTGTAACATTTTTTTTTTTTTGTAAAATGGGAGCACCTGAAAGAGGCAAGTGGATTTCAAATGTATAATCAGATATTAATTTTCCATTGACTACTTAGATTTAAAACACAGCAGTTCACCATCATAGAACATTTTTGAAGTTAAACATTTTTTTTTAATGATCATGCATTCACTCTGCTGTAAGTAGTAATCCTCCCTTAAAACTGCTGCCCTTTAGTCCACATAATGGTAAAATCAGAGGTTAAGAAGTCGATGATTCATGCCTAACTTTCCAAAAAGTCTACTAGACTCTCCACACCAGTTGTTGACAAACTCTTCCTGTAAAAGGCAAGACATATATTTTAGGCATTGTGGGCCAAATCTATTCCAAGTATTCAACTCTGTTGTTGTAGTATGAAAGCATCCATAGACAACATGTAAACGAATGTAAGTAGCTATGTTCTAATAAAATGTTATTTACAAAAATAGATGGGCTAGATTTGGCCCACAGGCCTGTAATTCGCTGTTCTAAAAGGCTTCCTAAGGAAACCATGCCTGAGAACTATGAAAAGGCTGCCTTTAGGTAAAACAACAGCATCTCTATAAGTTGTCTCCAATGATTCCAGGTACCTCTACCCCTTTTCTTGTATTCTCCTACATCCCCCCAAAGTGCCTAACAATTGAATTGTATGTTCTCTCTTTATCTTTCTGTCACCCTGCTGCTCCCACTGAGATCTATCAAACTCTGCATACAAAACCAATTAAATATAAATTATCCATAAGATTTAACATCGATGTTTCAGATGGTTCAAATTTTAACAGATGATGGAAGCCTTAAGCCAAAAGAATGAATCTCTAATTTGGGGATTTTCATTTATTAACCATGTTTTGGAGGTCAGGCAGTAGGAAGGAAGAATAAACACCAAGGCCTGACAATCCTAAGGCCACATTTGACAGTCATTTAATCTACTTTATCCAAAACTGCTCTGGGTCTAAGGCAGGTATTTGTAAAGCTGATCTCACCTCTGAAAATGTCACTAACCAAGCAGAAGAGTACCAGAAGTCAAAATGGATTCCTTCACAGAACTCTTGAATCAACAAACAACAGGAAGTCACAAGAAACAGGACACTATCAACACATATGAGAAAATTAGCTAAAGGAATATTCTGTTTTTAAAAGTCTAGTTTTGGCTGGGCATGGTGGTTCATACTTGTAATCCCAGCACTTTGGGAGGCGGAGTTGAGAGGACTGCCTGAGCCCAAGGGTTCAAGACCAGTCTGGGCAACTTGGCAAGACTTCATCTCCACAACAAACCAAATATTAGCTGGGCATGGTGGCAAGTGCCTTGTAGTTTCAGCTACTTGGAAGGTTGAGGTAGAAGGATCGCCTGAGTCCAGCAGGTCTAGGCTGTGATGGCCATGAGTGTACCACTGCACTCCAGCCTGGGTGACAGAGTGAGACTCGAACTCAAAAAAAAAAAAGGCTACTTTTACAACAAGTAGATAATCATTGATTTTAAAAAACACAGGAAAATAGAATAGGTAGTGTCTAGATATTATATTATTATATATCATGTACTGTATTTCAAGCCCTTGATGAGGCTGGCACAAGATGGAGCACTACTGTGCCCAACAGATGGTCTGAATGTTTGTATTCAAGCATACTGTATAAGACAAGAGGTACTTACTGTGGGGTTGCCTTACACACTCTGGGAGATCACAATAGTCAGTGGTGAACAGTTTTTTCATCACCAATACATTAAAGTTCACTGTCATAGATGACCAACTCCATGAGGTCTCTTGAAATACTCAAACCCAGGCACTTATCATGCCAATAGCATGATTATTCATCATTATTCATCAGTACATGACCATCACAAGTCTGGCAAAGGATAATTATACCAGAGAAACACAAATGCAAGAGGGTTTTAAATTTTTTGCACAGTTTAGGACATCCCTCCTCCAAGCCATTGAAGTCACTCGTCTGATATGCACCCCTACCTCCAGACAACTGACTCGTAAATTTGCCTGAAGCAATCCCCCTTCAATGCCACACATAAAATAAGTTTACACACAAACCAAAAAAGACCATGCTATTTTTTTATGTGAAGGTTTATTTGGAAAGCATAAAGCAGGTATTACTCATACTATTTTTGTTGCATAACTTCCAGATGTTTGTTTTATATCCATTCATCTTTAGTGAAGAGCAATAAATTAAACCTCTGCACTATGCCTAACAATCCAGGCATGAGGACTTCAATTCCACTAATGCTAACTTACAAAATATAATACACCTAATATGAACATCCATATCTAAAAGAACTAGATTGTCAAAGCTTATTGTTAAGGAGATTGGAAATGGATATTCCATGTTTGGGATACTTAACATTATTAAGAATCAAAATATTTAACATTATTAAGGTGGCAATTATCCTCAAATTCATCCAAAGAACCAAAAAAGAAATCCCTATCAAAAACTGAGTTGACTTCTTTACAAAACTGTGACAAGCTGATCCTAAAATCCATGTGAAAATTCAAAATTGCTAAAACAACCTTGAAAAAGAATAACAAAGTTAAAAGACTCACACTTCCAGATTGCAAAACTTACTACAAACAGTAGTCAAGACAGTGTGGTACTAGAATGAGGAAAGATACACAGATAATAGACTAAAACTTAGAGTTCAGAAATACACCCATGTATCTATGGTTAACTGGTTTTCAACAAAGGTGCCAGATCATCTGGGGAAAGAAAAGTCTTTTCAACAAATGGTGCTTGGGACAAGTGGACAGTTACATGCAAATAAAAAAATAAATTTGAATCCCTTTCTCACAAAGAGATAAAAATAGACAAACTAGTCATTATCAAAATAAAAACTTTTGTAGTTCAATAGACACCATCAAGAAAGTAAAAAGAATAGAAGACAACTTTTGCAAATCATATATTTAATAAGGGAATTGTATCTAGGGTATACTGGAGGTGGCAAAAAATATATATACACATTTTAAGCAATGTTTGCCATAATCAGATGTGTCTGAACGCTGACGGTAACCACTTTGAGCATCTCTTAGAATTACAGAAGTCATATGTGACTTGTATTCATTTTCAATTATTGATATATATTGAGTATTATAATTTTAATACAGTTTTTTCCTTTCTTAAAATGTATACTTTTTTGGCACCCTGAGTATAATGAACTCTCTTACAACTCAATTATATGACAGCTAACCCAATGAAAAATAGGTTACTCAACATCATTAGCCACCATGGAAATATTAATCAAAACTATTAGAAATCACTTTAATTATGTCCTTAAAGACAAATAATAAGTGCTGACAAAGACGGGGTAAAACTGAAGTTCTCATATACTGCTCATTGGAATTCATGCAGCTGTTCTGGAAAATAGTCTGGCTCTTCCTTAAAATGTTAAATATGTTACCATATGATCCAGTAATTTCACTCCTAGAGTGTACATCCAAGAGAAATGAAAACATTTCCTCACATAAAAACTATCCAGAAATATTCATGTAGTATTACTAATAGGCAAAAAGTGGAAACAATCCAAATGTCCATCAACTAATAAATGGTATATCCATCCAATGAATCACTCAATGGAATCATTAAGCAATAAAAAGAAATGAAGTACTGATACATGCCACAATATAGATAAACCTTTAAAAAGATTATGCTAAGTGAAAGAAATCAGCGGACAAGGGACTATATAGAATGACGTTTGTATGAAGTGTGCAGGGTAGATAAATCTATAGAGACAGAAAGTAGAGTAGTGGTTGTCAAGGGCTGGGATGAGAGTGGATAAATGGGAGGGGTGATAGCTTAAAGAATTTCTTTTTGGAAGAATGAAAATATTTTTAAATTGACTATAGTGAATGCTGGAGTATACAAAAAGCCATAGGATTACAATCGTAATAAACTATAGCTCAATAAAGGCATTATTTTTAATGTATAAAAATAGGCCAATGTGGTGGCTCACACCTATAATCCCAGCACTTTGGGAGTCCAGGGTGAGATAATCACTTGAGGCTAGGAGTTCAAGACCAGTTTATCTCTACAAAATAAATAAATAAATCGGCCAAGTGTGGTGGCACACTCCTGTAGTCCCAGCAGCTCAGAAGGCTGAGGTGGAAGGATTGCCTGAGCTCAGAAGTTCAAAGCTGCAGTGAGCTGTGATTATGCCACTACACTTCAGCATGGGTGATAAGAGCAAGACCCTGTCTCTAAAAAAACACACACACACATACACAGACTAAGACAGAGAAAATTTTAGTTTTTCCTTTGAGCCAACCCCAAAGTAATTTATCCAAGTGATGTGGAAATGGCACTGCTACTCTACCTCACTCTTCCAAGTTTGAGAAGGCAACAGAGAAGAGTACAAAATCAGCAATCAAAAACCTAAATTCAAGTCCTGGCTCTGTGTGATGTTGGGCAAACTGGTGAATGTTTAAACTCTTTTGTTTCTTCATCTATAAAAGAGAAAGGTAGTAATCTCAGTTCACAGGATTACTGTGAGGCTCAAATAAAACTGTGTCCATGTGCACAAACCTGGGGTTCTTAACATCAGCACAACTGCCAGTAGGTTTTTCCAGGTATTTGCAGTAATTCCACTCATCGTATCACAAAGGTCTGCCTGTTTTGTCTTTCCTGTATTTTCTTTCCCCCTATGCCTCATTCCAACACAAGATTTAAACAACTAGGACCTCAAATCCTTTCTGACATTTATTTAAGGCCTCTAAGCAGCTAGACTCTGGAGAGAAGCAAGGCTGACAATGCTATCCCTATAAGGAGAATGATAGTAAGGCCTGATCCTGAAGACAACCAGTATGGCTTAACAAACTGTTCTGTGTGCTTTCCAGATGATCAAGATAAATGAAGAATTTTCTTCTAACAACAATGCTATGGACAAATACAGAAGACAAAGTGGGTAGCCAGGAAACAAAGATGCCTGTCGCAGCATCCCTGAGAAATGGTCACCCCCAGAACAGCCCACATATCTCCCTATACCCTTGTTTGCAGGATACCAGGTTCCAGTTGCACTGTGCTCCTCCTCGCTGTGAATTGCTGTATCTTAATATTCTGACTGGTACTGTTAGAATAAACAAGTTTAAGTTAAGTCTGTCTTTACCAGAAGTGCATTTCATATTTTTTTAAAAATGAGCATGTGTTAAGTCTATATTCTCATAAGTTTCTGGAAGCATCATAAACTCAGAATGCTCATCAGGGAAACTGTTGAGCAAGAGGATTCAGAAACCATGGAAAAGCTTACCTGTGGTAAGCTCAACCTGAGAAAATATGCAAATATCTACAAGTCTCAAGATTTTCAACAAAATATTATTTACAACAAATAAAAACAAAGTAACCTTAATTTCCTCAAATTGGGATAAAGCTAAGTAAACTGTGGTACTAGTACAATCAAAGGAATATTATGTGGTCATTATAAGTCACAGAGAAGGATAGGTGTGATAAAAATTACACATACACTACAATTGCAACCACGTGAATTATAAAAATCCTAGGAGGCAAGTCATGAAGATGTCAATAGCAGTTTAATAATGTAGCAAAATAAATTATTTTTCATTTCTCTGTTTTTAAACTTTTAAAAATGATGTATTGCTTTCATAGATATTTTTTAGGCTGGGCGCAGTGGCTCACACCTGTAATCTCAGCACTTTGAGAGGCCAGGGCAGGAGGATGGCTTTAAGACAGGAGTTAGAGACCAGCCTGGGCAACACAGTGGGATTCTGTCTCCACAAAACATTTTTAAAAATTAGCCAGGCAAGGTGTTGCACACCTGTAGTCACAGCTACTCAGGAGGTAGGAAAATCACTTGAACCCAGCAGTTTGAGGTGGCAGTGAGCTAGGATTGCACCACTGCACTCCAGCCTAGGTAATAGAGTAAGACCCTATCTCAAATATTTACATTTTATTGATACATAATAGATGAACATATTTGTGGGTATATGTGACAATTTATTCAGATAATTTGTAAAGAACAAATAAGTGTAATTGGGATATCCATCACCTTAAATATGTGTCTTTTCTTTATGCTTAAATATATTTTTTAAAAAGCTAAAATATAAAGCTGAAGTAATTCCTCCAAGGTTGGCAACAGTCAGAATTGAATGCTATCAATGAATATACATAACCATAAAAGGGCTCATTTTCTGAGGAATGCATTTCTGAAGGCGTCACAGAATTCAAGCCTCATTTTTCTACAGGAATAAAGAAAGGATATACTCTCAGGACACAGATGTTTACAACCACTGTAGGATTTGCTTTATGCGCCTGTTAATTTTTTCAGCATTGCCTCTAGTTTTTGTGTAGTATGATTTTCCTTAAAAAACAATATTGTGCATCTTGAAAATAGTTTGCCTTTCTTCATCCTGCTATTAATCTGACTTTCATGCCAAATTTACTGACTTTGGAGACTACATTATTGCACATATTACACATTATAACTAATTTCATTAATATTTCATCTCATACTATTTCCAGTCTGCATACTTCCCACAAAGCACAACTGTAATGGAATAGTCTTTATACATCAACAGAAATAGAGGCTGAGAACATGAACTGCTAGCAAGCAGGAATATAGCATTATAAATAATATGGCAGGCAAAGAAAGGTAAGAATTTGTCCACTGTCCATAAATCTGTGCATCTGCCAAGTGCTTACAAGGCTATCTGCTGCTAACATGGCTTTTTTTCCCCAGCATATGTGTCCATATTACTATGCTAGAAACAAATGTGACAGGAATCATCATCTTTTACAGAATACAGAAAATAACTAAAAAGAACCAGCT